AACATAAGGGAAGGGAAGCAAAAAGAATATAAAAACAGGGAGGGGGACAAAACATAAGAGACTCTTAAACATAGAGAACAGAGGGTTACCGGAGGGGTTGTGGTAGGGGGGAATGGGCTAAGTGGGTAAGGGGCATTAAGGAATCTACTCCTGAAATCATTATTGCACACTATATGCTAACTAACTTGGAAGTGAATTAAACAATAAATTTATACACACACACACACACATATACATTTATACATGTATATATAAATATGTATATATATATTTATACATATATATAAATGTGTATATATACATATGTGTATATATACATATACACATTTATATATATATAAAAGTCTATGTAAAAGATGAGAAATTATAAATATTGAAATTAAAGGTTCTATATCATAGCAAATACAAAAAAAGAGAGAATATTCAAAAGCCAGAGCTCCTAAGAGACTGTCAGGGTGAAAGGAGACTTTTGTTTTAAATTTTTTAAATAGGGGCGCCTGGGTGGCGCAGTCGGTTAAGCGTCCGACTTCAGCCAGGTCACGATCTCGTGGTCCGTGAGTTCGAGCCCCGCGTCGGGCTCTGGGCTGATGGCTCAGAGCCTGGAGCCTGTTTCCGATTCTGTGTCTCCCTCTCTCTCTGCCCCTCCCCCGTTCATGATCTGTCTCTCTCTGTCCCAAAAATAAATAAACATTGAAAAAAAAAAATTAAAAAAAAAAAAAAAAAAATTTTTTAAATAGAGAAATTACAACTAACCACAGGCAAAATACTGACTAGAGAATAACAGGAAAACTCGGGCAGAGCTGCTGTGAGTACATATACGTGCAAGTGTGTACAGACAGGGAATCAAAAGTTAGCCAGGTGGAGAGAGCAGGAGGTACGCATTACTGTCAGATGTTATACTAATGTGTCCATTTTTCTTTCTTCTTCGTGTACGTATACATGTATGTGTGCATACACACACATACGTATGTTTATACGCATATATGCATACATAGATATCATACAACAGAATCTACGTTCTGTGTGCTTTCCATGGTTCTATCATGTTTCTGACACCTATATGTACCTTTTCTAGAAAGCTAATACAGGGCTAGGCATGAATCTTTCCCATAGCTCTCCAAGTAACCCACAAGATATTCTACTTTTCTGTCACAGCTTTGACTGTGGACATTTATCTGAACTTCACCCTTAGACTTTGCAAGGCCTCAGACAGATGGTCATCCAGCCCATTTGAGCACTTTGGTTTCTAGAGCTCCCTAAACCCAGCAGCAGTCTACTGTGTTGTCAGACCTCCTGAGCTGTAGAAAGTTCTTCCCTATATTGGGCCAAAATGTGCCTCCTGTGACTCGTTCCTGTTCACCTCAGCTCTGTCCTCTGCAGCTACAGGGAATACATCAATGCCCCCTCCAATGTGGCAGCGTACAAATACTTGATGATAATTACCAAGTCCTAACTCTCCTCCCATCCAGGCTACACGTCCCCAGTTCCCCCACCTGTCCTGTTTGAAAGAGCCATCGGCACGCCCCCCCATACGATGAAATGAAACAGGAAGCGAACACTCACCACACTTCACCATCCCGACCTCATAGCACTTCCGAAGTCGGCAGGCCTGGCAGCTTTTGCGCCTGTTCTTATCTATCGTGCACTGATTTGTCGCTGGGCAAATATAATCGTTATGTCCTACAACGGAGGAAAAAAACAAAACAAAACAAAACAAAAAAGGCAGGCTATTGTTACAATATTTTGATTACATGTCTTCCTGGTCAACAACACTGATAATGCTACCCGGCTGAGAGGTAGGGGGCATCTTCTTAACGATAGGTATAGGTACAAAGGCCAAAGTTCAGCGTCATGAGCACCTTATTAGTGAGTATAGAAAATCCAGGAATATCTCCATATCCTACTCTTTGACCAACAGGCTATTCTCTGCATGTTCTTAGAATTCTCAAGAGATACATTAGAAATATTCTCCTTTGGTTTCAATTAGCAATAATCGTGCCTCGGATAAACCTCATTGGCTACAATTCTGCCACTGCGCAAAGCTGAAATATTCTCCTTTGGACAGGGAAAGTAAGACAGTCGTCTGAAATTGGTTCTGCAAATCACAGAACACCTCAAGGATAGTACTTGTATATCAGGTCACCAAATTCAATTGCTTACATTCTTTTATACATATCCCTCTTTAGGATTTAACATGATTTTTTTTTTTTTTTTACTTTTTAAAATGTTTATTTATTTTTGAGACAGCGTGTGAGAGGGGGAGGGGCAGAGAGAGAGGGGGAGACACAGAATCCAAAGCAGGCTCCAGGTTCTGAGTTGTTCACACAGAGCCAGACCCAGAGCTCAAACCCACAAGCTGTGAGATCATGACCTGAGCCAAAGTCAGCCGCTCAACCCACTGAGCCACCCAGGCGCCCCTTATGGGAATTCATAGTCAAATAAGAGAGCGAAACTAATCACTAAGGGGATAATGAAATTAGCAAACTGAAGAACCAAAAGAACTGCCACTTGAGGCTGGCTGTGGTTATTGTTCTCAGTTGCCACTGCCTCCCGCAGCCCTGTGACCCTGCAGTGCACTAGAGCAGCCAAAGTGTGGTCGCCTACCAACTGACGTTGAGTGTGGCCATGAAACTTGCTTTAGCCAATAGTATGTAAGTAGATGGGATATTCCAACAGTCTGGCTTGGCCGCTGGAGCCAAGAAGAGGCCCTTTGAAAAAAAGGAAATGCCTCAGGTAGTTGCTGGTCCAAGGAGAATAAGGAAATGTGCAGACTGAACTCCACCCAGAGTTCAGAGCTGAGCCTTGTGAAACAGATGCACCCTACCCGACCCCTAGAGCAAAAAGACATTGTTCCACGATTGCACCAAAATCGAATTTTATAATTCTCTCCCATTTTAGGTAGATTCCAGTAACACTTGTTCAACCAAACACAAATTGAAATTCAGTTGCCTGTGGCTTTACCACCATTTCCTGAGCCAGCCTGGGGTAGCAGCAATGGCAGAGACTACAGCTCTCGAAGAGATGCAAACGCCCTCTCAAGCGACCTTCATCCCGGCCACACACAGGAAGCCTGGCTCACCAACATTCTGACAACGTACTGATTCCCAGATACTTTATCAACATTTCATTGAATCCCATAACTTCCCTATAAAGAGCTATCATCCCCATTCTATAAAAGAAAACATGTAACTTCAGTCGAATCATCTTAAGGTTATGGTTTTAGTATTCTGTGATGCGTAATAAATTTCTACAAACTTACACACTTAAAACCAAACCCAGGGGCGCCTGGGTGGCGCAGTCGGTTAAGCGTCCGACTTCAGCCAGGTCACGATCTCGCGGTCTGTGAGTTCGAGCCCCGCGTCAGGCTCTGGGCTGATGGCTCAGAGCCTGGAGCCTGTTTCCGATTCTATGTCTCCCTCTCTCTCTGCCCCTCCCCCGTTCATGCTCTGTCTCTCTCTGTCCCAAAAATAAATAAAGGTTGAAAAAAAAAAAAATTAAAAAAAAAAAAAAAAAAACCCACTTATCTCGTTTCCACGAGTCAAGAATCCAGGCACAGCTTACTCTAGTCAGGGTTTCAAAAGGCTGCAATCAAGGTGTTGGCTGGGCTGTGGTTTCATATGAAGCTCAGCACCCCCTTCCAAGCTCATATAAGGTGTTTGCAGAATCAGCCATTTGCAGCTGTGGGGCTGAAGTTCTCATTTTTTTGCTGGCTGTCAGCAGGATGCTGTTGCCAACTCATAGAGGAACCAGTTCCCTGTCCAAAAGCAGTTCACAGCACGATGTCTGCTTTCTTCCAGGCCAGGGGGGGCACATCTCTGACTTCCCATGTGCCTCTCCACTCCAGTATGATGGAGTCTTACATAATTATAGCATAATCACGAGACTCCCCCATCACCACTTGCCATATCAGGTAACCTAACCAAGGAAGCAACTCTCATATTTACAGGTTCCACACACACGCAAGAGTAGGAGGCAATATGAGGTATGGTATAAATCTTTTTTAAAGGAACAGATAATTACTTGTTATTGCTTTTATGATCACTTAAAACATTCAAAAATAAATTATATGCTAAAAGTCAAGATACATTCCCAATTAGAAATTTTCAATTGTCTGCTAAAACATAATCTTTTATGGCTAGAAGGTAAATGTAACCCCACAGTACTTTCCATAGAGGTATCAATCTTTTAAGGACCTTCTAAAAACTCAAAGAATAATACATGATGTCATCCTTTTTGGTTTTATAGAGGTTTACAACAATAAGCATTTAAGGGACAATGAAAGGTTCACTTTTTTTACCTCATTTTAAAAGACCATTTTACTTAAAAACAATGAGAAAGCATAGTAATATGAACACACTAAATAAAAATAGCCTTGGGGCGCCTGGGTGGCTCAGTCGGTTAAACGTCCGACTTCGGCTCAGGTCACGATCTTGCGGTCCGTGAGTTCGAGCCCCACGTCGGGCTCTGGGCTGATGGCTCAGAGCCTGGAGCCTGCTTCCGATTCTGTGTCTCCCTCTCTCTCTGCCCCTCCCCCATTCATGCTCTGTCTCTCTCTGTCTCAAAAATAAATAAAACGTTCAAAAAAAAAAATAGCCTAGAAAATGTCTTATACAAGAAGGCCAGGGTAATTGAATTCACTTCTGGCAAAAAAGGGGAAAAAAAGTCCTTAAACTATACGAACTACCTCACGTATTAAAATGGTTTTCTCAGGGCGCCTGGATGGCTCAGTTGGTTGAGCGTCCAACTCTTGATTTCAGCTCAGGTCATGATCTCACGGTTGTGACATTGAGCCCTGCATCAGACTCCGTGCTGAGTGTGGAGCCTGCTTAAGATTCTCTCTCTCCCTTTCCCTCTAACCGTCTCCCCCACTCACGTTCTCTCTCCCTCTCCAACAAAATTAAATAAAATGGTTTTCTTGTTTCATGCAACAACCTGAGAGGCATGCTATTCCATACTAACAGAACTGACAGAAAAGTTCAAAGCAAAATAGGTAGCTAATTCTTAAAGATATAAAGCTTTATAGGAAAATGTACTTTTTGTAATCTGTATACAGATAAAAGGTTATCTGTATACTCTACAAAATTATTGAGTCTGAATACCTGTCATCATTCATATCCATAGCACAGAGGGGAGAGACAGCACTGGACTGAGATCAGAAGATCTGAGTTTAAGCTCAGTTCAGCTTCCCGATTTTGTCACTTCAACGATAGAGCAATGTTTATCATCCGCACCCTCCCTGGCATGCTTATCCCTCAACAGCAGGAATCAACCTTGTGTTTTGTTCCCTCAGGACATCCTTTGTGGCTTCAAGGCCAAATGAATCCCAAGTAATGGAATATGTGCCTCCAAGATAAGGAATCTGCTGTATAACCTACCAGCTGTCAGAGCTTCCCATTGAAAGCTCAGATTCCAGGGGCGCCTGGGTGGCGCAGTCGGTTAAGCATCCGACTCCAGCCAGGTCACGATCTCGCGGTCCGTGAGTTTGAGCCCCGCGTCAGGCTCTGGGCTGATGGCTCAGAGCCTGGAGCCTGTTTCCGATTCT